CAAAGATACATTATTAGGTTAATAAGATTCTAATTACAGTGGTACCTCGGGTTAAGAACTTAATTTGTTCCGGAGGTCCGTTCTTAACCTGAAACTGTTCTTAACCTGAAGCACCACTTTAGCTATTGGGGCCTCCAGCTGCCGCCGCGCCGCTGGAGCACGATTTCTGTTCTCATCCTGAAGCAAAGTTCTTAACCCGAGGTACTATTTCTGGGTTAGCGGAGTCTGTAACCTGAAGCGTATGCAACCTGAGGTACCACTGTATTTCCCCCATCCCATCCAGGCTATCCCTGTTGTGAAAGAAAACAAAGACACAGAGCAATGTTTTCCTTCAAATGTCAAGGGAAAAAAGAGGTTGAAGCCATTATTTATCCCAGGGAAAGATCAACCACCTTTTTGGCTTATGAAAAAAATGGCTTGGAATTTTTCTTTTAAAGAAACATACTGGTTTCAGCATTTATCCAGTAGATGGAATACTTCTGATACTTATTTTGAGAAAATGTACACCGTGTTGTACTTTTATGCTTAGGTCTGCGTCTTTGGATTAGTTGGGGATATATTTACAGGGTTGCTTTGCAATATGAATACTGAAGGATACTTCAGTCTCAAAAATGGGCATGTGAATGAAATGATGACCCCTGGTGACACAATCTGGTCCCTTGGCACCATTTACCATGTAGCCGAGGCCTTGGATTACATAAAACGTTTCTACCAGCTGATGGTAAATCAGTGTGCTGCAGGGAGTTCTGGGAAGATAGAGTGTATTCTGCAACAAAAGGGCTTGCATAAAGGCTACTCATTTTCAAGAAGGGACATCTGGCATCCCTATTTCAATGTCTTCAATCAAACAAGCTCCCAAGATGAAGTTGTGTTAGTGGGAGAACACTGACAGAATTTTTAAGATCAGCGGTTCAAAAGGCTCTTCTTCAAAAACCACTTTGTGGCCAATTCCACAGCTTGTTTTCTTCTGTTATACGAGACCAGCTGTTGCACTTGTCTCTCTTCTTCTTCCCTATCCTCACACAAAAGCAAACAAGGGGAAAATACTCTCTGCAGCTCCACTAACCCCTGTTGCTTCATTGTGTTTTTCTGCAATGTTTGCTGAGAAATACTGGATACAAGAAAAAGAAATAATCAATAGAAAATGCTCACAAGTATATTACATAGTTATTTATCACATTTAAACATTATTACGAGTTTTAAACAAAACCATAACAGGTGGTGCTCAACATTAGCCATACCCAGAGCTGATGTATTCAGATCAATGGATTTAAGTAAATTAAGTCCATTGGTTTGAAAGAGTAGGGCTGCAGGCACACCACCCATTTAAAAACACAAGTTCCTCCAAAGAATCCGGAAAACGAGCCACAATTCCCAGAACTTTTAACAAGCTACGGGTCCCAGGATTCCCAGGTCAGGTGTTTAAAATGTGCTTTAAAATATAGTGCATATACAGCCAAAGTCATAAGTAGATGTAATCCAGTGTGCTTAACAGTCATCATGGATATTGCTCTCCATGTGTTAATTTAAGGAATGTTATGTGACGGAAGGAAGAATTTTTTTTAAACCCACATTGATTTCCATGCCCTAAGTAATTGTTTTTATTCTCTAACAAACAGCCCAGGTATAATGCCAATCTATAATAACATTAGTCCCTTCTTGGACACTTGAAATACCACTCCGGACAGCATCAGCTCTGTCGTTCCCTCTCTGAGAAATTTCCAAAATAAGGAGGGGAAAGATAACACAATTTCGCCTTGTTTCTTAATACAGTAGTACTTAACGATTGATCAAAACGGCAACTCGCTTCTATTCTAGGGGCTTTCGAAATTCCCGATGTTGAGCAGAAAATGGCAACTCATCTATTTCTCCAGCTCCTGGGACAAGTTGCAGACTAAGTAAGTCTTTGACCTTAGCTTGCAATTTCCCTTTGGCAGAGAGGATTCCAGCCCCTGGGGACGCAGTGTGACAGGGCAGTGTCCTTGCCTAACCTTATCAGGGTCAGGAGGCAACAGCTGGCCCCCAAGGCTACTCCTGCCTGCCAGGTAGCACTGCATTGCCAAAAAAGGGGCTGGTGGTGGCAAATGGGGGTGGGGGTGGTTGTCATCCCCAAACAGTGCCTATTTTGTCCAACTGCTCCCTTCTTTTAAAGGGTCACATTGAAACTGCAGGTAAGAGTAGCGCTCCATTGCGGAGACTGCAGTGCAGAGACATTTGAGGGCTTTTCCATGGTGTTGGCTCCGAAAAGGGACACTGCAAGTTGCAATCGATGAGGAGAAAATTAAACAAGGCCGCCGCCCCAAGGGTAGATTGGCTCTAAAACATGGCAATGAGTGTGACTTCTAAATCAGACTAGGGCTTCCATATATTACTTTAAATGAAAGAGAAACAAACAGGCACCCAAACAATAGCTGCCATTTGCATGGATACACCAGAATAAAAGTGCATTTTAAATAACAATAATTGCTATTATAATCCAGAGAAAAGAAAAAAGGAGCAACATACATTAGTGAATTGCATATAATTTTCTCATGTAATTGCAAAAGGATTATAAGCAATCCTGTGCTCACTCTGCCTGCTTATTCCTAAATTCTTTAAACGTTTTCCGTTCTTGCTCAGATCTCTTCTCTTTTTGCGTCGGACCCAAAGGATCCAGGCGATTTTATTTAAAAGTTGCCAGTTCCCAACTTTTTTTATAGACCGTTCCCCTCAGATGGGGATACCTATTTCTTTTTCCAGTACTTCACATACAAAATCCTTGCTGCTAGAATCATAAATCCTCGCAGCTAGAATCCCATTATAATTTCGCTCCCTTTTTTCTCATCTTCCAAAGCACTTGAATGCCTTCGCTTGCGCGACCATATGGCAGGGAGAAATCCAGCCTCTGCCTGGAGGAGAAGCCACATTTGCTGAATGCGAACCTCTCCAAAGCGAAGGCATCAGGGCCTGTTGGTCAAAGTGAGGCAAAGGATGTTGAAGAGTGGAGAGAACTGATGAGATGTTGGACTTCACAGGGGTCCCTGACCTGTCCCCCTCCAGGTGTTCTTGGACGACAATGTCCAGTGTTCCTCACATACTGAGGCTGGCGGAAGTTAGGCATTTACACACCCCATGTGGTCTTTCCTGCGCCTCCTAGGCTGGCTTGCTGCCCTCAAGTGGAGGGGAGGATGCTCTCCCCTCACCAGCAGTGAAGGACCTTTTGTGTGGGGAAACGAGGGAACTATCTATCTGCGTAATAATATGCCGATACAAAGCCCGATACCGGTAATACCAAAGTTGCCGTATTACTTGTTGCTTGGCCGTCCTCCAACACGCTTGCAAACCTGGAAAATGTTTGAAAATCTTACATGGAGTTTATTTTTACAACAACCCTGCAAGCAGACCCATTTATTTTCATTGTGCAGATGGGAAGCTGAGACATAAGAACGTAAAAAAACTTGCTGGATTAGGCCAAGGGCTAACAGCGGCAGCAGACAGGATGCCCATGGGAAGTCTGCAAGCAGGACTTGAGCTTGACGGTTCTCTCTGCACCCGTGTTTCCCATGGTGCTTAGCAGCTGCTGGCAGCCTTGCCTTCCGTGAATTAGAGCCCTTCAAATGTGTGGTCATAACTTCTCATCGACTTTCCGGTAAGTAAAAGTAGGATCTTGTGCATGGAGTTATGGCAGATCTGTTTCCCTTTGCCCCACATGGACCTGCGGAGACCCTAAACCAGCTCCACCTTTTGCTTCCATCTAGGTGGTATGGTTGTGGCAGGCAGGTGAAAGGGGTGCTTTCCCCTAGACCAGGGTTCTCCAACTATTTTCTCTGGGCCACATGTTTAGAATAAAAATTTGCTCTTGCCACACCAAACTTATTTTATTGATAAGAAACACACTGGGAAAAAAAAGAAAACAACAACAACTCCAGGCAGGGCTTGATTTATAACACAGAACACAACTACTTTATGACATTCAGAAAGCACAGCTACATCAGAACAGTAACCATTCCCAAAATATAATTATAAATGAGCCGCTTGCCTATGTACCGTAAGTATGTATGCAAACTCCGTGCAAGGTGTGAGCTTGCTTTTGCAGGGTAATCTCATTTGTATTAGGTATAATGTGAGACAGACAAACACACTTCTTGTCATCAACGCAAAGAAACCTTTCTCTTTTCTGATCTTTCCTGTTTGTCAGAGCTGAAAATCCCTGTTCACAACAGCATGTAGTGGAGAACTGCAGAAAAATAGCCAATACTCTTTGAAGAAAGGCTTGGAGACTGTGGTTGTATATCTCGCCCCTCCCCCAATTATTGCTATGCTATGCGGGTGGCGCTGTGGGTTAAACCACAGAGCCTAGGACTTGACTGATCGGCGGTTCAAATCCCCACGACGACGGTGTGAGCTCCCGTTGCTTGGTCCCAGCTCCTGCCAACCTAGCAGTTCGAAAGCACGTCAGAGTGCAAGTAGATAAATAGGTACCACTCTGGCGGGAAGGTAACCGGCGTTTCCATGCACTGCTTTGGTTTACCAGAAGCAGCTTAGTCATGCTGGCCGCATGACCCAGAAGCTGTACGCCGGCTCCCTCGGCCAATAAAGCGAGATGAGCGTCGCAACCCCAGAGTTGGTCACAACTGGACCTAATGGTCAGGGGTCCCTTTACCTTTTTAATGCTATACTGAAACGTTTAAATGTTTTTGGATTCTTTGAATCTTCCTGAGCCACTTGCCATCATCTCCTCCTGCTGCCACACCCTTTGAGAACCACTGCCCTGGGCTCTAGCTATCAAAGGCAGAGGAGCCTCCCCAGAAAAAGGGAGAAGAAAGCGAAGCAGCCTCGCGGCTAAGCCCAACTCCCTGCCCAAGGTAGGCTCACTGAGGCTCGTGCAAAGTAGGTGCCTTAGAGGGGACAGTTAAAGGGTTAATTTCCAGGCGAAGGAGGGGAGAGGGAGCGGTGCTCGCCCCGCCCCTGCGCGTGGGGAGGGGAGGAGGTGCGCGGGGTAAAAGAAAAAAAGAAAAAAAAACTTCGCCTCTCCTGTTGTTCTCCGACGTCCTATCCCAGCCTGTGCAGCCTCGGGGCTGGAACGAGGAGGCGGCGGCGGCGGCGGGAGGCCGTGTGCGCGAGGCTCCTGCGAGAGCGCTCAGCCCAGCTGCTGGCAGCAAGGCATGCGCATTGCAGGGCGCCCTCTCACCCCGCTCAGCTATGCCAAATATGTGGTGAGCAGCAGCAGCAGCGAAAGGAGAGAGAGAGAGCGGAACGCGCGAGCGAGCGAGAGAGAGGGGACCATGGGGCGCTCCTGCCAGCCGGGCTCCGGGCTGCCGCGCTCGCCGTCTCCATGAGGGGGACCCTTGCGCGCAGCAGCGGCGGCGGCGCCCAGCAACTAGCCCCCAGGCGGAGAGAGGCGACGACCAGCGCCAGGCATGGCTGACCCTCTGCGCAGGACCCTCTCCAAGCTGCGGGGCAGGCGGGCGCAGCGAGGGGCGGCGGGGGAAGCCGCCGGCCACCCCAGCGGAGGCGGCGCCCTTCGAAGTCGAGCCCAGCAGAATCTGGCGCGCCCGGGGAACCGGACGCCGTGCGCGCTCGGCAGCGGCGGGGTCTTCGCGCCCCACCTGGAGGAGCCCACGCTGAGGGAGCCGGAGTCTTGGTCCCGGCGGGGGAAGGCGGCAGCGGCGCCCGAGGAAGAATCCCCCGGAGCCCGCCTTTGCCCGCCGAAGAACCGCGTGGAAGGGACGCGGCAGCTGCCTCCGCCGAGCCCGCCGGGGCTCCGTGCGCCCCCGCCGGCGGCCGAGCTCTGCTTCTCGTCGTCGTCGTTTTTCCCCCGCGGGGCGGACTCGGGCTCAGCGCTGGAGCGGGGCGGCGGGAGCGAGGAAGAGGACTATTACGACAACCACAGCCTGCCCGGCTGGAGCTGCCCCAAATTGGCGTGCCGGGCGCAGGCGAACGCCGACGGCAGCGTGGCCCTTGGCAGCGGCCACTCCAAGGCACAAGAGAGCGCGGGCCGGCTTCGCAGCCAGCTGCAGGAGGCTTATTACCTGCTCATCCACGCCATGCACGACCTGCCCCCGGCTAGCCCCGTCGTCGGGGCCCGCTCCCCGCCGCCCCTTGCCCACCCGCCGCCCTCCTCCTTCTCCTCGGCTGGGAGGAGCCACGATGCCTCAAGCTGGTCTTTCGCCTGCGGAGACGGTTCCCCGCCGTCGCGAGCGCCCGATTCCGGCTCCCAAGGCTCCGGCAGGGCCCCCGCCTGGCGCCGGGGCATCAGCAAGAGCTGGGAGAGCCTCCCCGCTGCCCAGCCGCCCGCCAGACCGCCGCCCTTGCGGAGGTGCAGCAGCGACGGCGCGCTCGGCCTCTCGCCCCGGGGCCACCTGCTGCAGCGGCCGGGCGCCAGGCGGGGACTAGGCTGCGGCGGCCTCGCAGTTGCCGCCGGCTGCTCCGGCCACAGCAGCAGCAGCTGCGAGCAAAGCCCCGGCAGCCGCAGCGCTTGCGAGGGACATCCGTCGGCGCTGCCGCGGGACGACTTGGGCCGCTTGCTGGGCTCGGGGCTGTGCGCCGCCCTGGGCGAGGCGGTGGCGCTGAAGGGCGCCGCGGACCCGGCGGCGGCGGAGGGGGGCGGCGGCGGCGGCAGAAGCCACGTGCGCCCTCCGGCAGGCACCCACGGCGGCCCCTTCAAGCCTCCCGCCGTGACGGTCCGGAAGCTGCAGAAATGGATGTACAAAGGACGCCTCCTCTCCCTGGGCATGAAAGGCCGCAGCGAGCCAGCGGGGGCTCCGTCGTCTTCGTCTCCCGCAAAAACATCCAGGACCTGCGGGCCCCCTCTGGGCAGAGAAGAGGGGCCGGCAACGCCGCCTCCTGCCCCCTTGAGGGGTCAAGGTGGAAAGGGCCTAGGATCCCCTTCAGACCAAAGAATCTTGCTGACAGGTAATGATTTTTGTGACCACCTCCCCTCTCCTCACTTTCCCATGGTTGGGGGTTTGCAAGCCTCCACAAAGTTGCTCTGTTCTTTTTATTTTATATTATGGACAGTGCTTTTAACAGCTGCTTGATAGAAAGAAAACACTTCAGTGCAGTTTGCCTCACCCTTGGATCCCTTGCACCCTTGCATTTGGGAAAAGCTTCACTTGGCTGAATTGCTTTCAGGTGCAGGAGACTTGCCTTTTGTTTATTTTAATTAAGGAGCAGGCCTACTCCAAGCCTCACCTGCTCTGTTGCATTCTGCTAAAGGCAAAATAGTCTCAATTTCTGGGCCGGATGGAGTATACAACTAATGCTTACGGCATCTGAAGCTTGTTGACTACTCTCTGCAGTATTGCATAAAAATAGCAAGTTTGCCATAACAGGCATGCAGAGTGTTGAGAAAGAGACAAGGCTTTCGTAAAGTTTGCGTGCCAAATACTAATTTGCAAGTAGTGTGTGGGATTCACATGAAGGGAAAACACACACACATGCACAAAAATGAGGTCACTTGTGTTTGCAGACCAGGACAAGTAGGTTAGTTAAAGGAAAGGAGAGTACATGTACAATAGGAAGAAATACTGTACAGTAACCATAACTTCTCCTTATTCCAGTGCGCAACCTGGAATTTTTTAAAAGCTTATTTACATCTCACTTATTTCATTGGGAAAGTTAGGCAGTTGCATAGATCTCCCCCATTCAAATTCAGCAAAACTTAAAAATGCTTGCTGCCATTAAAATATTAGTTATGGGGGGAGGGGAGGAAAGGCGTAATGCTTCTGAGCCTTGATTTCTCCAAAGGTAAGTTGTGGGGAGGGCTTTTCAGCATCAAATATCGCTGCAGGTGGAAAGCCGTCATAGCAAGGAGAGAGGTTCCATCCTAACATTTCCCCTTGCATGCTGTTTTTCATGTGCAGGGAGCTTATTTTATTTTAGGCTGGGAGAAGAATTGAAATATTGAGGACTTGCCACATTTGCAGCATTTGAGCCTGCTGCAGCAGTGCAACCCCTTTCTCTGGTGTAAGAAAGCCTTGAGGAGGACCCTACCTGGCACAGTGCTACTCTAAATCCGATGGGGAGGAGCTGCCTCTTAAACAGTCCTCATTTTACCCCAAGTTGCAGAGCAAAGAGTTGCCCAGTAGCACTTCCCCTGCTGCGAATACAGTGTGAAAAGTCATTCTTGGTATGGAATGCAATTTGTCTCTCTCCGCCCCAGTTGCTGTTTTAAATTGTAACCTCTGCGTGAAATCTTAATGGACGTGTGACACTTATTAACCATAAATGTTTAGGTACTTTGAGTACAAGAAGTATCCTGGAAAATACTTCTCTTTTTTTTATCTCTCCCTCCCACCCCTGAAATCTGTGCTCAGTGGCAGGTTCACAAGTACACCTCACAATTCTCGTGACAAAACAAAAACAGGGGGGAGTGGGGGGGAACATGTTAATGTTATCTGGTCAAGCACCACTGCCTCATTTATTTCTATTGGCCCTGAAGGGGTGAAACATTCCCAGAAGGGTTGGCAAATCAACATGGATGCTTCCAGAAAAATGCCTCCCTTTTATACATTAATCTCACAACGTGTTGCTAAACCGTGTTAATAGCTCACTTATTAAAGTACCCGTATATGAAGTAAGCTTTCAGTTTCTAGGTCCCTTGGTGTTTAATTTCTCTATAAAGTCCACATTATTGTGGATAGTCCAGTATTGTATGTAGAAATGAGAAGCTACAGATTCGAATAATAGTAATAGTAATGATGATGATGATGATAATAAATAATCAGAAAGTGCTTAATTATCTTTTTCTGGGCAAGCCTATAGTAAGTTTCCTTTGTGAAAAACTTCAAGTTCAGCAGAACATTGGGTTGGATCCAAATTGAGTCATGCTTAGAGCAGCCCCATTGAGTTATTTATTTAGAAGATTTTCAAAATGCTTAATCAAAGAGCTTTCTAATTTAAATGGGTAGCTTAGTTGTTTTGATTGGTTTATCCTGAGGGGAGATACAGTCCTTTCCACCTGTTAAACCTGTCTTTGGCCCTCTGTCTTGTTCTGGACCATTTTCTGCTGTATCGCTCTCTGCTTAACATCCAAGAAACAGTACAGCTCAATAAATCCTATATTGCATTTCCTTATCTAGTTCGTCAAGACAAAAAAGTGCGGGGAGAGACAAATATTAAAGATGCTAGTATGGGGGACGATGGCACCCACTTTAAATCAGTTGTTGTGTTCTGTACTAAATCAAAGGCACCCTCCACAGTGTCCACATCACAAAAATATATATATCAGTACTTAGCACACCACTGACCACATTATGTGACAGTTAAAGAAAGACCTGTGTACCTGCTATGTCTTTAAAGCACATTCTTTCACTCAAAGTAATTCTGGGCACTGTGGTTTATTCCTCACAGAGATGCAATTTCCAGCAATCCTTAAACAGCAGTGCCCAGAATTTATTGAGGAAAGTAATGCATTTTGCATGTACTCTAAAGGTACAATGTGTGCGCAGCTGATTGAAAGTATTTCTGAAACAAAGAAATTCTGTATGTCAGTGTAGGGCAGTGCTTCCCAAAGTGGGTGATACCGCCCCCTGGGGGAGGCACTGGAACAATTGGGGGGTAGTAACCTCTGGTGCAATTGGGACAGGGCATTGAATAAAAATAGGGGGGCAATGGAAGCATGAAGAGGTTTTTTTAAAAAAACTACATGTTTCATCGTTGTTTACAACTACATCTTTATTTACTATGTTGTAGAACGTAGGTAGAAATATAGATACATAAAAGAACACAAGTGTGTCACTGCACCTTTCTGTTTGTTCGTGTAAAGAATGTGATTTCCTGGGGGGTGCTGGGTAATGTTTTGTTTTGTTTTTTTCCTGAAAAGGAGACAGTAGGCCAAATAAGTTTGGGAACCTCTGGTGTAGAACGAGGCATGCTTCCTCGTAAGCAAGCCCCATTCTGTTCAGCGGGATTTACTTCCAGGAATCACACAACTCAAAGACTACACAGGGTTTGAATATATTTTGTCATTGCATCTTAGCACCCCCCCGCACCCCCCACCTTAAATAACTTCTAATTAGGATTGCTGCAATAAATCTACAGGATCACTGTGGTGCTTTGCCCTTGTTAAACTTGCTTCTGCTGTTTTTGTAAACTAGACATAGCCTTAGGTCTAGTTCGTACATGTGTGATTAATGTTGAGTAGCTATTGATATGAGTTATGTGTTGAGAATCTGCTCTCCGGAGGGCTGTTAGCTTTCCTAACTTGTCCCTAATGGAGGAGGGAAAACTTGCCGTTTTAATATAGGGTGGACATTTGTGAATTGCTTCACTGTCCTACAAACACATAGATGTGTATTTTGCTAAGATGCCCAGTTGTAAAGAAACAGACTGTGCAGGAAAGGGAATTTCAGCAAGTGCTCCTGTCAAAATTCTCATTTCTACGGGGCAGTTAAAGAGAAGGGATTCTCCTCCTCCTCTGCAAATGTTGCCCCCAGGGGCAGCACATGACAACTGGCCCCCAGTACCCTCAAGTGGCCCATTCTCCCACAGCCATGGCTGTGATCACTCTAGATCTTGCAGGAAAGCCCAGGCATTTAACAAAGCTGCAGGATGTCCACTTTGGTGTTAACAGCGCTTGTGTGAAATAGTCACTTGCATTAGCAGGTATCGGTGCTTTTTATAATGAATGAACCAGCTTGTAAGTTAAACGTTAATAACTTAATTATTCAAATACTCCTCTTTAACAGTGTGTGGTCTCTAATCTTAACTGAAAGAAGCAGTTGCTTTTTAGTACAGTTTCTTTCATGTTTTAACTTTTCCACATAAGTGTGTGTGGAATAGCTGCAGTGGAAAATGCTTTTCGAGGGTGCCTCCCCCCCCCCCCCGTTTTGTTTTAAGTTCTGTTTTAGGATTATGCCTGGTTTAAAGTTTCATTGCTCTAAATCCTCCTAGATTTATTGCAAAACACTGCTTCAGAAAAATATAATTAGCCAGGGCATTCTAAGCATTGGTTGCACAATGGTACTACATTCTGTGTATTGTTTTACAGACATGGGAAGGTTAAAATGCACATAATTACAAGGTGCCTGTTAATTGTACAGACTTGAGTAGTCACAGGAAAAGAAAAAGACTTACCGTATTCCAGAAATCTGGGTTGAGATGTAAGAATGCTTCTTGCCCTATACAGGGGTGGACTTTAGTCTTTCAGATTTCAAGTAATAACAAAATATATAAACCAACATAGCGAGTGATTATTATTATTATTAGTAGTAGTAGTAGTATTTTAACAAAGAACTTATCCATTTGCGTTTTTAAAAATAGGCAGAATGAATTCTGTCTACTTAAATAGGTTGTATGGAGGCATGGGTAAAGTTAAATGAAGTCAAGTTCTGTTCTGTTCTTGGTCGTAACCTCGAGTTTGATTGACTGATGGGAATTGTTCTGCCTAATGGCTTTATTTTTACAATTTTTTTGCCCAATAACCTTAAATATTAATTTGTTCCATAGGGAGACAATAACACAGCGAAACCTTTTTTAAACCCCGCTTCCATGTTCTAGTAAAATTACAGGATTTTCCTAGTGAGTATTTGTTTAGCATATGGACTGTTGGGAGGCCATGATGGTAGCCCAAGCCAAGTCTTTGAGCATTAGGTGCCCTTCTTAGTAATAGCAGTGCAGTTGTGGAAGGCTAGAGGTTCAACTGGTGCCAACATTGTCCACTGTGACATGACCTGCTCAAGAACTGCCTTTTCCACCAGGTTTTAATATACCGTAATAGAATGCTTGGATCTCAGGAAGCTGGCCGGCTGTTCTTTATTATTATTATTATTATATTGCTGATACTGTGTTTTGTGTTAACGTTTATTGTTTTGTGTATTTACTATTGTAAATTGCTCTGGGGTCTTAGCACGAAGGATAGGATGCCAGTGTGAGAGAGATGATCCTGAGGAATAATTGCAAGCGGCCAGAAAAGGGGTAAAAGGGAACCTTCACCACATCTGGAGGAACAAGAAGACATGAAACGCTGAAATAGTACATGATTAAATGATTGCATCATTTCCCCCCCTGCGCCCCTTATATATTATTCACAGGGAGCATAGAAGTTTTAAAAACATTCCCCCCCTTCTTTTAGAATAAACGTTTGTTTTATGAAACATAGGAAGAGTGACATTTGTAAAAATGCATCTAAGATAAATCTATTCTTTGGTTATTTACTTTCATCCCAGAAGGATGAAAGAATCTGAACTAGTTAAGAATCTGGTCCCTTGGTGGGCCATGATAGCTACATTATAGCATGGTCCCTAACTTCATGTTTATCAAGCAGTGTCTGATATTGGGATGGGGGGTGGGATAGATCCTTTTCTCGCTGTGTCTGCACACTTGGAATGTAATGCATGTTCAGACACGACTGTCCTACCATTTGTAGTTACTTCAAGACTTTTATTGCTGTCGGATCTGTGCATCTGGTCAGATTTGAAAATTTAGCCATCAAAATATACAGCCTCCCCCTCCCTGCCCGCTATCCCTGTTGTATATTGAAACTGTGTGGAATGCCTGTATGCTGAGCTATGCCTGTATATGGATATAATGTGTGTATTATGTATAGCTACTTAGAGTATGTAGTTCTTTGATTTAAAAAGGGGGGAAAGTAAAATCAAGGGAGTTCCGTTTCCATCAGAGCTTTACCTTTATGTCAGCCTTTGCCAACCTGGTGCCCTCCAAATGTTTTGGGCTGCAATTTGCATCAGCCCCAGTCAGTAAAGCATGCTGGATGTGCTGATGGGTACTGTAGTCCAAAACTTTTTGGAAGGGCACCAGATTGGCTGCTTTACGTCTATGAAACAGAAGCCTTTTTCAGGCTTTCTGGACACTTGCAATGTGCTGCTGTAGACCACCCCACTCCGCAATTTCAATTTGCTCTCTCTGTTTCCTTCCTCCCCGTCCGTTACAGATTTGATTGAAACAGTGTACATACCGTCTGTGAGCAGAAGAGAACTTAAGAACTTCAAATCCACTGAAGTCGCTGAGTGCAGGCCTCGGATTGCCAGCATCACTGTGTCCAAGAAACGTAACTGGCTGCATCAAAGTTCTCCAAGGGTGCCCAATTTGGAAAAAGGAAACTCGTATAAGAAAATTTCAAGAGAAACGCACCAGAGACAGAAATCGCCCAGCCCATTGCTTGAGCCGAAGATGCCTCACCTTTTCCCCAAACTTCTAGGGCATGAAAGCCCTAAAAGAAGAATTGGTTGCGTACGAGCTGTTGAGAATGGGGCAAGCTCTTTGGCACGGCGAAACTGTACTTTAGATTTTGGGGATGATAACGATGCAGATGATGAAGGAGAAATATGGTACAACCCTATCCCTGAAGACGATGAGCCCAATTTTCCTGACCATTTGGACCCTCAAGCCATTAATTGCAAGGTGCCTTCTGGGAATGACTTGGTTAAAGTCGTAAGGCCTAACGAAGGCCTCGCACACGTCTTAGACTGTGTCGGAAACACTCTGCCCAGGGAAATTAATGAAGTAGATGGTGTACATTCCATGGAACATTTGCAAGTACACAAGCAAAAGCCTACGTGCAGTATTCAGACTGGGTTTGCAGTGGAAGATAGTCCTACATTGAAAGGTACTTTGGGAGGTAAGAGGAGTGCAAACATTTAACCTACAGCGATGTTGTTAAATATTACATTTCATAAGGTAGTACTAGCTATCATTTTGGGGTAAGCTGAAAGTCCCATTTCTCTGGAAGTTCAAGTCTTACATAAGCATTAATTCACTCATACAGCTTGATCAATGCATCTTCATTCAGAAATGAACTGATTTTTTTAACCAGACTTACTCTTTTAGAAAGCTTTATTTTCACCAGGGCTACTTTGGGTTTCTTCTGTAACGTATTCTGAAGCTTTCATTTGCTCATGTAGAAACATCTCTCCCAATCGTTCTTCTAGTAGGTTTGCGGAAACACTATTTTCAGCCACAATTGGGAATTGGTTATATCCTACAGTAACAGATCTGCCGTTGATTTTTGTTTGCGTAGAACTGTCAACATTTTAATTTTTGTTCAGTTCTTAGAACAAACTATATAACGCAAATTGCCCATTACAACTTATTGAACATTTTTCTTAATAGTGCTGTCTATAGGGATATGCCTAACATTGTTTCTGAATTGGCTTTGCTTCTCAGGGTTGTTTTTAAAAAACAAAAACAGAAAACATGGAGTGAGGAGGGGGTATTCGATTTTGTGTGTGCTCTTAATTTATACAACAGCAGAGTTAGGCTTTTCTTGAGACATACTAGCTTTTTTGTGTGGCTTCTACTGAGTTCATTGTAATATATACTTTATTTGCAAGCTGGGAAGGTGTAAATATGACCGTTGTAGGAAATCTACATGCATTTTATGCCATGTTTCATGGATTAATTTCTTAATACATACATAGCTCCCACGAGTATTGGCAGAGGACTTCTGATAGATTAAAGTTTGTTTTTGAATTAAGGGAAATTATATAGAGGCTTTCAACTCACTGGGGAAAATTTGTTGCTTAACTAAATCAAGATTGGTTCATGATTGTGGTGCCTATAATGAACCCTGGTGAAATTGATTGCAAATTTACCCTATACTGTTCCTTGTGTCTTGAGTTAATGAATGCAGCCTTGCCTCTGTGTGCATTGAATAGTAATCACATTGAATGCAATAATTGATGAAGAGAGTCCCTGCTGTTACGTAATTGGCTATATTGCTAAGGAGTACTTAGTGATTCTTTTAATCCTGTTAAGGTGTCTACAGTTAATTTCAGTCAAAGCTGAAATGACAGCTCCTCCAGACAAAATTGCCACATAAAGGGCAGCAGGGCAAATCAATTTGTTTGTATGAATGTGTAGTACTGAGTAGCACATGCAATTACTCTGAAGTGGGATGTAAATGTCTTCATGGCTTTCAATCCTAGCTGGTTGTTACTGTCTTCTGCCTAGTGATTTTCTAAATATTTCCACCGCCCCCAAAAGGTATATCCTTTGGGGTGGGGCAGATGCCAGCTTATGTATAGTTTTTATGCTGAGTGTTGATTTTGAAATAATTTCCTAGTCCATAATTGACCCGTTTCCATAACAGCACAACAGATATGATTGCTATATTTCCCAGAATACCTTTTGGCAGATCTGGAATATCATCTAATCATCCTTGTTGCCCGTAATGGGGACTAAACAGCTTAACCGTTGCATGCAAACGGGATTTTGTGTAGCGCTTCTTCAAGGGGACTTACTAATAAGTGTCTTTAATATCTTTCCAGGTTCTGATTTGCACTAAGTATGATTTTTATTGTTGTTGTTGTTGTTTAGTCGTTTAGTCGTGTCCGACTCTTCGTGACCCCATGGACCAGAGCACGCCAGGCACCTCTGTCCTCCACTACCTCCCGCAGTTTGGTCAAACTCATGCTGGTAACCTCGAAAACACTATCCAACCATCTCATCCTCTGTCGCCCCCTTCTCCTTGTGCCCTCCATCTTTCCCAACATCAGTGTCTTCTCCAGGGAGTCTTCTCTTCTCATGAGGTGGCCAAAGTACTGGAGCCTCAGCTTCACAATCTGTCCTTCCAGTGAGCACTCAGGGCTGATTTCCTTAAGAATGGATGCGTTTGATCTTCTTGCAGTCCATGGGACTCTCAAGAGTCTTCTCCAGCACCATAATTCAAAAGCATCAATTCTTCGGCGATCAGCCTTCTTTATGGTCCAGCTCTCACTTCCATACATCACTACTGGGAAAACCATGGCTTTAACTATGCGGACCTTTGTTGGCAAGGTGACGTCTCTACTTCTCAAGATGCTGTCTAGGCCTGTCATTGCCCTTCTCCCAAGAAGCAGGCGTCTTTTAATTTCGTGGCTGCTGTCACCATCTGCAGTGATCATGGAGCCCAAGAAAGTAAAATCTCTCACTGCCTCCATTTCTTCCCCTTCTATTTGCCAGGAGGTGATGGGACCAGTGGCCATGATCTTCGTTTTTTTGATGTTGAGCTTCAGACCATATTTTGCGCTCTCCTCTTTCACCCTCATTAAAAGGTTCTTTAATTCCTCCTCACTTTCTGCCATCAAGGTTGTGTCATCTGCATATCTGAGGTTGTTGATATTTCTTCCGGCAATCTTAATTCCAGCTTGGGATTCATCCAGCCCAGCCTTTCGCATGATGTATTCTGCATATAAATTAAATAAGCAGGGAGACAAAATACAGCCTTGTCGTACTCCTTTCCCAATTTTGAACCAATCAGTTGTTCCATATCCAGTTCTAACTGTAGCTTCTTGTCCCACATAGAGATTTCTCAGGAGACAGATGAGGTGATCAGGCACTCCCATTTCTTTAAGAACTTGCCATAGTTTGCTGTGGTCGACACAGTCAAAGGCTTTTGCATAGTCAATGAAGCAGAAGTAGATGTCTTTCTGGAACTCTCTAGCTTTCTCCATAATCCAGCGCATGTTTGCAATTTGGTCTCTGGTTCCTCTGCCTCTTCTAAATCCAGCTTGCACTTCTGGGAGTTCTCGATCCACATACTGCTTGAGCCTTCCTTGTAGAATTTTAAGCATAACCTTGCTAGCGTGTGAAATGAGTGCAATTGTGCGGTAGTTGGAGCATTCTTTGGCACTGCCCTTCTTTGGGATTGGGATGTAGACTGATCTTCTCCAATCTTCTGGCCACTGCTGAGTTTTCCAAATTTGCTGGCATATTGAGTGTAGCACCTTAACAGCATCATCTTTTAAAATTTTAAATAGTTCAGCTGGAATACCATCACTTCCACTGGCCTTGTTATTTGCAGTGCTTTCTAAGGCCCATTTGACTTCACTCTCCAGGATGTCTGGCTCAAGGTCAGCAACCACACTACCTGGGGTGTACGAGACATCCATATCTTTCTGGTATAATTCCTCTGTGTATTCTTGCCACCTCTTCTTGATGTCTTCTGCTTCTGTTAGGTCCTTACCACTTTTGTCCTTTATTATGGTAATCTTTGTACGAAATGTTCCTTTCATATCTCCAATTTTCTTGAACAGATCTCTGGTTCTTCCCATTCTGTTGTTTTCCTCTATTTGTTTGCATTGCTCATTTAAGAAGGCCTTCTTGTCTCTCCTTGCTTACTTTCCTGCAAATCAAGATAGGGCTGCCATCAAACACACCATTCAATATCAAGTTTTGCAACAACGTAGGGGAACTTACCTTTCCTGCCATTGCTCCACATTGCTGACTGTTGCTGATGGGGAAAAACACAAAGCGTGATGTTGTCAGGACACGGGATAACTTTTACTAGCCAGTGCAGAATGGTGAACTTGGCATGGTTGTGCTGTTCACAGCGACAGTTGTGCTTTGTCCATTTTTCATTCGACTCTTCTCCCTGACTTTTAAAACCAGCGAGAGGCAGATGATATACTGCCGCCCCTTTACAAAGAAAGCAACTTTCTCTTCCAACTCTGCATGTATATATCTAAACCTGGCAACAGAACCATCCCTCCTGAAGGGCTACTGAAACAGAAGTCTTGAACTGCGTGACCGCAGAAAGGTTGCATGAGTTGGCTTCTCAGTAAGCATCACATTTTTAATACTCATCATGCTTTCTAAGTCACTTGCATTTTACTGTCTTATTTTCTTGGTACAGAATTCTCCTGTATGTGCTATGCCGTATTTTTTTTAACCATTCCAGAATTAAGCAGCAGTCCTCTCATAAGAAAAAACAGCAATCCTTAACTGCCTGCCTGCCTGCCATAGAGGAAATCTCTTTTTTAGACAATTGCAAGCTTTCTGAAAATAAGTGTCTCTCTATTGCTATTTCCATCTTAACTATAGTGTTTGCTGCTGAGGTTTTCCGAGATAATGTTTACTGAATTATACCTAGCATCCTTAAGACTTCCTCAAATCATAAAAAAGGGAGAACAGTATTTTTAGTTCAGGAGGTACTGAAAGGAACATTATTTGCATTCCATCCTGCAGCCGAGTAGTCCATATTTAGATAAAAAAGCTTTCTGTTTTTACCGTAATGTGTTGCCTTTTATATAAGAACTGCAGCTTCAGAGTTTGGAAGGCTTTCTGTATGAATGTGTAGCTGTGGGAGGAGAAAGATAAATAGCACTGCAGACTTCCTTCGAAAACAGAAGGCTGGTGCTTTTGATCACAATTTTATATAGCCAGTTTGCATTAGACCAAATGAATGTGTTTGGTCCAAGACAATAGCTGTATCCGTTTAGTATAACTGGTGGCGAGGGAGCACGTTGAGGACTCTTGAGTATTGACTTCTGGGGTTAATTTGAGTCAGCCTTTCTGCGTCTGAGCAGAGTTGTGTACATGTTGATTTAATTAGGATTGACTTGATGGATTAAATAGACTTCGATTGAGTAGATGAGATGAGATCTGACTTTATGAAGTACAGTGATTCCCATGTGATGCTTGTTAGTCTTTAGCTTTGAAAGAAGTGGGTGTGCGGCTGTGCATTTAATTGCTTTATTGCAGAAGCGCTATAACTTTTTAAAAACTAGGTAACACAAGCTCACAGGCCAACATGGCTATCTTCACTTTTTGTGTTATCTGCAGAAGGTAGTTTATAATCTTGTGTAGTTCCACACCTCCACCCCAGGTGCCATATAGAAAAGCTTGCAGACACCTCTGTGC